ACCACTCAAGAAAAAGTGAAATGTATAAAAGTACAAATCACGTAATGTAAATAGCAATATAGGAAGAACAAACGGTGTTTTTTAAAGGACCATTAATGAGGTTTTTATAAGGTCGGTTTGAAGAAAAATTTCAGACTTTTATCCACGCGTGTAACTTAATTAAATCCATGCTTTAGCAAAATTTTATGAGGCTTTATCATGTTCCAGCTATGAGTCAGTAATATGATTTGTGGTATTACCTTAGAAAGGAAGCAGTTGTGCACGTCCGAAATCGGAAAAGTTGCCTTGAATTATTAAGTTACGATACTGACTTTTCGTTAGCCTGAGAGTCTCCGCAGTGGGGGAAAAGGCGAAAAAATATCGGGGTGCGAGGCGACCCGAGCGTGGTCCAGGATACCTTTTCGTTAGTCGAAGGCTCAACCCACGAGCTGGTCTCCATATTGCAATAAACCAGAACGAATGAACCAGAGTTTACTTTGGAAAACTACTTTTTTGCTGACAGCGTACCCTTCACTGATCCGTCTGAGTTTGGGATGAAGTCCTCAGGCCTGGCTTCCTTTGTCCTGTTGTTAAACTCGCACGTCAGAAGAGAGATAACCAAGTTAAAACTTTGTCTTCGATGAGTCTTCGCGACACTTAAGTACGCACTTAAAAACATTTGAAAAACCATTAAAAAAAAAAAGTTGTGACAAAAATGTCGAGCTTGTTGATTGAATGAAATCTTGGTTGGATATTTAAGAAAAAGGTCGCAAGTAAGCGAAAATTTAAAACAGAGCTTTTAACAAGAACCCCCCCCCCCTTAATGTTTGCCGTGAGGAAATAAAGGTGACTTCAACAAAGCAAATGATCGATATAAAAAAGGAGAAATATATACAGTACTGAAGAGTATAACAAGTAAACAATCACGATTTATTACACATTCTGAAACTGATCATTATAACAAAAGCATAACAAGTTGTCCTTAACCATTAGTGAGAGAGCGAGTACCGGTTTATGTTCAATGAAGCCTTTACGCGCTGAGCGTTGTAACATAGTAGAAACTAATCGACTTGCTGCTCTGGAAGAAAACGTCTTCTGACCAGCTGTGAAATATGTGATATGATTATTGTAATATAACATAACCAACGAATCAATCAGCATCTATAATAAGCAAAACTAATTAAGAAACCAGATAAAGACAGCTGAAACTATGTTTTGCTCATGTAAAGTAATCCGGTTTCCAGAATTCGGGAAATTTTTGCTAATGGAATCCGTAATCCCGGGTTTTGGAATCCGGAATTCCAAATGCGACTGGAACCCGGAATCCAAGTTCCTCTGACACAGAATCAGAGCACATGGCTTGGAATCCAGATTCGAAGATTGTCTTGGATCCCTTTACATGAGGCGATATGTTACAATAGAGAAAATTACTGTCTGACTTCAGTTCATAGAGACACACACTTTAGATCGATCAGGTGACTACACTAAGGTAGCCTGCGTAGCCAGCGGTATTGCGTAGTAGTGGAGTGACATTTGGCGGCGGAGCCGTTGTAATATAGTCGAGTGAGATTTGACGGCGGAGCCATCACCAGCGGCGAAGCCGCGAGAAATACCTTTCAACCGCCTCGTCCCTACTCTCTTTTTTTGGAACACGGCTCCGCCGCCAAAACTTTAATCTCGCACCCACCGCCAGCTACGTAGGCTAACACTAAGGAAGAAGTTCTGACATCTCCGTGCTAATGTTAATTAAAAAGCAACCTTAATTAATGTTCTGAAGTAATCCTTACGACTATATTTATCTGGTAAGTTGATAAGCTGAAAGCAAAAATTCAGCCTAAACAACTGCATTTATGGTACAAACAAATGTACCAACAAAAGGGCAACCGTAAGATCCTTTCTTATGACGCTACACCATTAACCATAGCTAAATAGAACTTAAAATTGAACGTGTTGTACCTAACCATAGTTAGTAGAGGAAATTAGTTAGCAAATCCGGCAAGCATCAAAGTTGAAAACAAAGCTGCTGTAGTTTAAGTTTAAAGCTCCCTGACCGTGCACAGTCCTTTTTTTTTTGTTCTCAAATTGTGACTGACTATGTTAATGCAATGCTTCTATTGGTCAGTAAGTTCAAAATGATAGGAATGCTATTGAACGTTGTGCACGGTCAGGTCCAAAAAAGCTAACAAAACATATAACAAGAGGTTAAACTGGTTCCAAATCATTCCAATCTAATAACTATAACATAACAGAAAGATATTAGTCCCCTATGATGCTTAGTAACATCACACGCTCCATGATGTTATCAGAATACAAGCTCAATAAATAGGTGGTTATATTTCAGTTATGTTGAAGTGGTGGGCCGCGGCCGGTAGTCTTCAAGTGAAACTGTTATTGACTTTATAGCTTATGAAGAACAATCGAACAAACAAACAAACATGTACAAAAACAAAAAAACAGTATAGTAGCCAGACTTTTGAGCACCTAAATAAATAAAATACCTAACAAATGGCATGTTTGATCTGAGCAAATACAACTAATTTCGCGTTATTTGAACTAAAAAAATAAGGAGGCAGTGTGGCCGAGTGGTCAGTGGGTTGAACTCGCAATCCCGCGGTCCCGGGTTCGAGTCCCGCTCTGGCCACTTGCTGGATTTGTTCTCGGTCGTCCCGAGTTCAAATAATCCTCGGCCACGCTTGTAAATAGCCAACCGGTTGCCTCATGCCAGTTGGGTTTTTAACCCTGTTATGTTATGTTTAAATTATTTGTTTCTAAGTATTTGATTGGAGTGCCTGTAAACTAGCTGGATAAGCTAAGTGCACTTTCCACTATGAACAAGCCTTTAAACCTTTTTAAACCTTTTAAAATACACAGCTTTATGCTGCGTACATTAAACTGTAAAGTTCTCAGTAATCGCTAATTATGTTTAGGTCATGATTTCCAGTGTGGCAATATCTGACTTTTAATGCAGAAATTGGAGCTAAATTAACCCTTTCACTCTAAGACCAGCTAACTAGGACGTGATTATTTGTCGATTTAACTTTTTAGAAATCTTTGGAAGAAATCTTATGCATGGCGCTACCATTTAAATAACATATCTTTTGGCAGGACTTTTAAAAAAGCACTATGCACTTCTTACGATTTATGTGACTTTTCTACTTTGGCCAGGAGTGTAAGATTTGTATGAAGACGCCATGCTGGACCCCATCCGGATGGCACCAACATGGCGTACGAAAACTAACAGAAACATCTGTTACCGAGTTTTGCTACAAAGTGCGAATTTATTTCTCGAGGAACTCATAAACATTGAAGTAATACTTCTTCTAATACATGAACTGTTTAGATAGGAAAATGCCCTGAAATAAGTCACTTTCTTACCTACAGGACAGCTCTCTCGGCTGTCATGTAAATGTTGCGTCACGTAAAAGCTTAGAAATTCAAGCGCACTCTATCACAAAACCAAGAACCCTTCCGAAGCGAAAATTTGTATGAAAATTAGTTTCCGGCTGCTCTAATACGTGACAAAAGTAAAATCTCAGCAGGATCTGTAGCTTTTTAGTTAGAATTTTAGGGACGTCATGTGAAAACCAAATAACTTTTCAGCTGTATGCTAAGACGTCCCTTTCAAAAACAGGATGGAATGTAGTTAAATGGTCCCCATCTCTGGAGCCACAATCATGTGGAATCCCTAGCAAGCAGTGATTTAACTACAGTAGTGCAAAATATAGGTAATAGGTATGTGACATTTTGTAAGACTAAGCTAAGTTAAATATACCCATCCCATTTAAAAGTCCTTCTACATCTATATACACCGTGAAGCCTAAATAATAAAACTGTTAATTTTATATCTCAGGTCCCCGTTGTTCAAACGTTGGATAGCGCCACTGTTCAGTGGATTAGAATTAGGACTAACCAATAGCGTTATCTACTACAATCCTGGCCGAAAGGTTTTGGGACACCTCCCCTTTTTGAAGTGTTTTTGTATGGAATTTACAGCTAACGGCCTTAGCAAGATTCCCCCCCCCCTCCTCGCCCCCTAAGCAAAGTTGAGGTTCTTAAAGTAGCTTAAAGTGTACAAGATATGTAAAAGTGGGGGTCCAACTTGAATTACATTTTCCTCACCTGAAACACAAAGTGTCCCAAACGTTTTGATCAGGATTTATCCTGGTGGATAGCGTTACCCACCTTTTGAACAACTCGGGCCACAAAAAGAGAAATTTGGTTCACAATAGGGGTTCTCAGAAAGTCCCTTTCTTATGTTATTTTTTACGCCAAATTATCAGACGTTTTGTGAGCCCGGGGTTGCGTTTCCAACAACTGAAAGTTCCGAAAACTCTTTGGACTCGAAAAGGGTCCAGAAAATGCTCAGTTGAGTCCGGAAAATTTATAGGTCTTTTGAGAAACGAACACCAGCATAAATACTGGACTACGTTAAAATGCTGGAAATCAAGCTTGACTTTTAAATATGTTTCCCAAATTTTCTACTCTTATGATAACGGTAGTTAAAAATCTCCCCTCACTTAGAGATTTTCAATTTAGAAATTAGTCAGCTGAAAAGACCAGTTCCCGCGTACACTTTATGGGTATAATGAAACCTGGTGTGCAGAGCACAGGATGATTTTCGTGACGGTGCCTGCCCATACTATAGTGTTTATGGTATCTTATACGCGGAAAGGTAGATTTAACAAATCGGTGTTAATGTATTGGAAAAGGACTCTTATTGTCTAATTCTAATAACTTATAAAACAAGGTATTGTTAAATATCCCTCTTTCATTGCCTCATGCAGAGGTCAATCTTCGCGCGAAAAGATAAAAAAAGCCGGCAAACAAACAAACTATAACAAAACAAAACCATTGTGTTCTGTTGTGGCAAAGACTTTTGAAAGAGTACTAGTCAGCAATTTAACCAAAACAAACCCTTTGTGTTGAAAGGCATCCTAGTCACTAAAACCATGAAATATTTGTGACAAATTTAACACTAGATGCATGTTACTTCGCTGCGTCGTTTTCAAGTATGCTTTGATTCACTCATACCACGCATAAACATCAGCACATGTATGACCGCTATTATCGTCTTCGGAACAGTTCTTTAAGTCCGGCCCATACCAAAGTTGGAACTCTTGTCCAACAGACACGGATATTGGAGAGGGAAGGGTGTTAAACCAAAGTTCGGGCTCGTTAACACCTACACCTTCTATCTTGTACGAATAATATCTACAGCCATAGCCCTGTGTTTTCTTGTAATTTGCGAGCAAAAGAGCAGACTTGTTCTGAAACGTTATGATAGTAAGTAATTTCTCTTCGTTATAATGCGGATGGCCACATCCCCAGAAGGAAGATGGGTAATTGGGGTTACAGCTAACTGAGCCCCTCAGATGAACCAGTTTAAACGTATAAATGACCCCACTCTCTGTGATGTTAAAGGTTCCGTGTGAGTCATCCTTTGCTCCAAAGCAGACTGGCTCAATATTTATCTTCTTCCAGTTCTCTGAAATCAATTTCGACGTAATTTGAATTCAATAAGTTAAATCTATTACGTTTTATTCTGCTCTTGCTAAAAACAAGTTGGTGCAGTGTAGGGGACTGAAGAAGTGACAAAAGGGAAAGAAATAGAGAAGGAGGACGACCAGGATCTGTGATATGGCCATGGGTTGATCGTGAATGGAACTTTTCCCTACTTTTATAACGTTATGATATTTTCTCAACAAAATGCTCTCCCGTGTTAAACAAAAGGTTAGTATGTTCAGTGTTCATGGCGATTTTTTATGTTGCCACCATTCATGCCTAAAACATTGCGACTGATGATTAGCGCAGACACAGCATAAAGAAAGAATACATTACCAGCATAACAGCCATAGAGCTCAACTCTCATGGATATGCGTGCGTGCCAATCCGTCGGTTGAAAGCGAATATAACGGGCCATAATAACTTCTGTCAGGTTATGAAGAACAACGGTGTTTTGATCACTGTTTCCATCAAATAGCTACATACAATTAGAGTAAAAACAGATTGTTACTTAGTATAAACCAAACATGAATAATTTTAAAACAAACTGTTCCCCAAAACCGATCGATCACATACACACTCACACTATAGGGGCCACAAAATATAATACTGAATGGTTTTTGTTTTTCAGTTTTTCGTTAATCAAACGCAAGTTCTTTCGATTTTATTTTTACTGAAGCAACTGCACTGAGTTGTTTCTAAACTGCCGAACGTTTCCCAAGAAAAAAACAAGCTGCCTCAGTGTCTAGGACTCCTTCTCCCTTCCCCCTTACAGTGCCTCCCCTAAAATGGAGTTTCATCGCTATCGAAGAACAATAGCAACAGGGTGACGTCATTGTTATTTTACATTCCCGTATATTTGGGAAACAGTTAGTTTACTTATTAGTGTACATTAGACAACTAACACCTAGGCCCCGTCCACCTCAGACTGCTGTTTCGGATCATAACATGGGCAGTACATATAGAGGGGACCTGAAAGAATTGTTAACCAGCGCAATCGGAGCGCTTAAGCGTGTGAGACAATTTGTTCCTCCGTCGACCCTCCAAACAATGTACAACTCTTTTATCCAACTGTACTTTGACTATTGCAGCGTTGTTTGGGAGGGCCTGGGTTCTGAACTAGCTCTGACGCTTCAAGAAGCACAAAACTGCGCATGATACTAGGGGCTCCTTTTATCGATTTCAATTGTCTCTTCCCAAAACCAATTGTGGCAAAAAACGTTTTGGCTAGCTATAGGGGAGCATATCCTTGCAAGTAATTACCCGAGGAATTGCGTTAATGCAAATCAATGAACTTTAATTTTTTATATCTAAATTTCACCGATTGCTCCCCAGCCTCTTTGATTCCTTACTATAATCCTAGCTTAAAATTAATTAATCAAAAGTTAATTTCTAGTCTTACAAATATTTCTTTTATCAAAACTAATTAATATTATCTCGAAACCGGTGATAGATATATACATTTTTTAACACGGCTTTTATGTAAACCAGCTTTAGCTGATAATACTACCTGTCTAAATAAAACATCTCTCTCTCTCTCTCTCTCTCTCTCTCTCTCTCTCTCTCTCTCTCTCTCTCTCTCTCTCTCTCTCTCTCTCTCTCTCTCTCTCTCTCTCTCTCTCTCTCTCTCTCGCTCTCTCTCTCTGAGATGTTGAAACCTGTTTAAAGACTTTCATGGCAGGAAAAGAGGTATGGAAAAAAGTGCTTAACTTGCCTTTTCTTTATTTTGGCCTTTTTCTTTGTAGGTTTGAAAGCTGCCTGGTTCGTTAAAAAAACTGAACTGCAGCTTGTACTTTTTAACCCACTCCCTCGCGTCCTGTCTTCCTTGTGTCGCTACACCAGTAACTCTTGCATTATAACTGCGCAAGTCAACCTGGAGCCACTGATAGTTATCTAATCCGCGCGTTGACCAAGCACCTTTCATGTCTCCTGCTGCTTTTAAGTGTAGTCTGCCCCGGTAGGCACCAGCTCTCCACCATTCTGAAGAGGCAGTGATCTGTGTATCAGTGATGTTTCCATTTTCCATACCCAGAGAACTTCGGCATTCTATATGTTCCAAAAAAAGGAAGTGCACCATTCATGAATAACCCATATACTTTTTATACGTTGTGAGATTAACTTTTTCAATTAAAAAATGTAACTTAAATGATAACATAAAATTACTGGTATTCAATCTTCTTAACTGCATTAAAGGCATATTTTCAACTGCTCTTTATTTAACCCTATTCATACCGTGGGGGGCTTTTTACCCCCTTACCCCGCCTCCCCCGTCCACCACTCCTCCTCTCATTACAAAGTTGAAGAACAACTTCTTCAACCGCTCAAGCAAGCTTAATGGCCACCACCAAACTAAGCGACTTTTCTAAGGTGTTTTTTATTATTTCTGTTTTTACTATAACTCCTCGCGAAGCGACGGCCGGTCGAGCGAAATGAGGTTTAAAACATTGTCGAAATTTGCATCGTACGTGACTCTTGCTACGGCCATAAATATTTATGTTTCTTTCTATCAAATCTATCCAACTGATCTTTCTAAACTGATCTGGACCGCTTGTTTTAGTGCCTGTTTTCATGGAAGGGATTTGGACCATTATATTAGCATCTATCAAAATAACACCAAAAATGGAAGAAAGAAAGTGACTTAAGACCTGAAATATAATAATTCAACTAGAAATACGTGAATCGCAGAACAGTTCGCAAAGCAGAGGCTTTAAATGGCCAGAAATATATACATAAAAAAACAAACAAATAAACATACAAAAGAAGTGAAACAAATAAAGAAACAAATAAAAAAAACAAAACAAAACAAAACAAAAGTAGGATAGAGCTTTCCCAAGAATCTATCCCGGCACACCCTGTTCGTTGAGAATAACCTTTGCCACTAAACTACGTGAGGGTACAAATATAGTTTAATTAAATAATTAGTTTAAAGGGGCACCAAACGACTTTGTGAAATATCTGTTCAAAGAATCGAATATATACCTCTTATTAGCCGAGTCTTCAGTCCGTACTGTAAATTATAGACTGTTCACAGTCCTCTACTTTTCCGTAAGATCATCGAGATCGAGCGCTTTGCGTTACGGGCTGCCATCTTGCATGAGTGTCAAAACTACTTAGGAGGAATTTGGGTTCTGCCAATAAATTCAATAAAATGACGACACGGTGACGGCAGATTATGTCATTAGGTCAAGTAAGCTATGCCAAAATGTTGGAAATTACGAGTAAATCATTCTGCCTGTGTAATTTTGGTTGCCTTGTTATGCGCGGTTTTGTAGTTACACAGAGGGAGGGTTTTGGGTTCCGTGGCCCCACAACAGGTCACAGGAAGCAAGAAAAACCTGGGATGCCCCATACTTTTTTCTTATTTCAGTCCTATCCTAATACGCTCTTTCTATGATTGTGGAGTCAGGTGATCAACTTTCGGCAAACACGAAAACAGTTCGCTTTCGAAAAATTTTGTTAGCACGTGAGCTGAAAGAGTATATTAAAATTAGGTAACCTATCAATTTTCAGCCGCATATCTCAAAAGTAGCGATTGCAACGGCCGTCAAAAGTTCGAAAGATTTGTGTGAGAAAAACAACTTTTCTCACCCAGTCACGCTTGCATGGTTTTCCATACAAATCCTTGTAAATTCTGAAATGTTTAATCTTTCTCTAACACATTAGAGGGCTCAAATTGTCTGTTATAGGAGTTAAAAGGAGATTTGAGCCCTGTAATGCTTAAGGAAATATTTCATGACAGTTTTGAAAATTTCGAAATACAAGGATTTGTAAGGAAAACCATGCAAGCTTGACTGGATGGCAATAGTTGTTTTTCTGATACAAATGCGTCCAACTTTCGGCGGTCGTTGCAACGCTATTTTTGAGATATACGGCTGAAAATGCTCTGGTTACCTATGTAGAATACGCTTAATTGTCAGCTCGTGCTAACAAATTGTTTCAAAAGTGAACTGTTTTCGTGTTTACCGAAAGTTTGATCACATGATCAAGTCATGCAAAGAGCCTATTAAGATACCACGTCACTTACACAAATCCACCGACTGCTCAGATCAGTCTCGAGCCACTGATTCACACTGATAAAACCCAAAAACTACTTTTACATCCATAGTACTCGAAAAATATAATCTGCTCTAGTAGGCGTGGTTATTTTCTTTATACTTTGAAGAATAAACCCAGGAACGCAGTCACAACGAAATGAACCCGGTTCATTCACACAGTTTGAATGCGGCGGACACTTGTGTAAGTCGGCGGGTACACATTCATCGATATCTGTTAGAAAATAAAGCAACTGAATCTTATTGAGCTATTTTGAACATCAGTATGACACACGAAAAGAGTAGTCTGATAGGGTGTGTATCATTCGTAAATACCTACCATCTGATAATAATGCTAGATTGTGGGTATTCTGTTGTGTCAGGAGTCCTGGTTGTGTACATTTTGTTAGACTATGAATATTCTGTTAAAGCGAATGCCGGCGAGAGGGCGCGAAAGCTCAGCTTCACGGCATGTAGCCTAATTCCACAGCAGGAGGCGATCGATCAAACAATCACATGTACCCTCACGGGTGTCGCTCATTCTGTTATAATTATATGATCTTATTTTAGAAATACGACGTTCGTCCCAAAATTAAAGCTTGCAAAACTCCAAATGTAAGCCCCCCCTACCCCCCCACCCAACTCGCAACGCAAAAAATAACTTCCGTTAAATCACCCCTCCGAATGGCCCCATTGTTATCTTTGCGACCATAGAATGAACTGTTTCATCTCTTGGTATGGGGAAGATCTACGTCTTTACCGCGAGTTTTAGTAAAAACTTCGTGCCAAATTCTGACCTAAATTTCTTTCCAACTATGCTGAGATCACAATAGGCTAGTCCAATCGATTTTGAGACACAAATTTCCCTCCAAGTATAAGCCTAGCCGATTTTGTAGCACAAATTTCGCTCCTTATCATAGGCCCCTTCCGAATATAAGCCCCTCAAAGGGGACTTTGAAAAATATAAGCCCCGAGGTTTATTTGTGCAATTTTACGGTAAGTTTACGGCAAACGGCAAACGTCAGATTCAGGTTGACAATTTCTCAAATCAATAAATAAATTAGCAGCTAAACACTGTACAAAATAGGTCTCATGTATAAACCTGACATTAAACTGTCCTTATTTGTGTGTAGATATAAGAAAAAGTCAACGGGAAAAGTGGGTCGCGAGGTACGAATTGACGTTTGCCATTCGCCCGTAAACATGATTCTAAATCTCTCTAATAAGTGATGTGTAAGCTTGGTGTAATGGCGTTACCGCATACCTGACACGCCTAGTGACGCTAATAGTATGCATATTAGGTGTTCTTATTTTAGGACGTGCTAGGTTGTATCAGAACGTAGTAACTAACGGACGCGTGGAGTAGCTTTACGAATTGATTGTGAAACAATACGATGTAAGCTCGACATTAAATTGGCGACGAGGTAAAAGTGGAAAGGCGGTAAACATTGGATACAATTTCCCGAATTCGACGTTCGGAATGACCCCGAAACGGTATACGCCCACTTCTCAAAATATGCTAAGCGGTTCAAGGACAACCACTTGAAAGCCTACAACATCACAGACGAGGACCAACAAAGATCATTATTCCTAGATTCGGTAGGCGAAGCCACACTAGATATATTCGAACAGCTTAACGATACGGGAACGGATTTGGACGGAGCTATCACCGCACTTCTGAACAAGTTCAAAGAATCGCAAAACCGGCTGTTCAATATACACAAATTTCGTTGCACTATACAGGGAAAAGATGAAACCTGGGACTCCTTCATCGCTAGGCTAAAAGCAGAGAGCGAACACTGTGATTTTCCGGCAGGGTGGTTGGATATAGGGATATTAATGGCCATGATAACGAACGGCAAATCAAAGAGAGTGAGAAGAAAGCTTTTGCAAGACCAACTAACGCTAGCTGAAGCTCTCAAATACGCTCGTGGCCTTGAGAGCGCGGATCAACACGCTACAAGAGTAGAAAACCAAACGACGACCGAAGTGACTGTCAAGCAAGAAATCAAAAAACCACTGTCGACAAAAAGTAGAGAAAAAACTGTGTTTTAATTGCGGGAAACGTTGGCCACACCAAGGTGGACAAAGAAAATGCCCGGCTTTTGGAAAACAGTGTACGCGATGTGGCAAAAGAAACCATTTTGCAAAGTGTTGCAAAAACAAGCAAGAAATTAAATTAGCCCAAGGAGGCGAGCAAATAACTGACACATCGTTGGACAGCAGTGATGAAGAGTCCACATGCACGCTGCAAGAGGTGAACCCCGTGGGACAGTCACACAATAGGCCCCTAAAAACAGTGATAATTAGCGGCGTTGACATTACGGTACTACCTGACAGCGGTGCTACGGTCAACGCTATGGATGAGGCAACGTTCAAGAAATACGGCCTAGACCTAGAGTAAAGATTAGAAAGTCAAGATGCCAAATAAAACCATACGGGGCAGCGTCGAAAGCAAACACCCTGCCTGTTCTGGGTTGTTTTGAAGCGCTTACGGAATCTAAGACAAAAATGAAAGTGATCACGTGGCAGCTAATAAAAGGAGACACCCGCACCGAACCGTTGCTCGGCTACAATGACGCGAGAGACCTCGGAATGATTCTTGTGACCAATTCAATTGCAACAGAAAGCAACCAGTCAGAAGGGACAGACAACCTGAATGAAGTGTTAGAGAAATACAAGGACCGTTTTCAAGGAATTGGAAAGCTAAAGGGAATCCAGGTCGATTTGAATGTAGACCCCGATTTTAAGCCAGTTGCACAGCCACCACGCCGGCAACCGTTCAGCGTATGTCAGAAGATGGAAGAAGAAATAAAGCATCTTATTGATCAAGACATCATTGAAAAAGTCAACGAACCTACGGGATGGGTGTCACCGCCTGTGGTTACGCCCAAGAAAGACCAGAGCCAGATACGTCTGAACGTGGACATGCGCGTGGCAAATCAGGCAATACCCCGCAGACACACCCAGCACCCCACAATAGACGACGTGGTCAATGAACTGAGCGGGTCAACGGTGTTCTCCCACCTGGATATGAGCAAGGGATACCACCAACTTGAACTCAAAGAGAGCTCGCGGAACGTAACGACCTTTTCAACTCACATTGGCTTGTACAGATATAAGAGGCTCAACTATGGTACAAGGTCAGCGGCAGAGATATTTCAAGAGACGATCAGAGAGGAATTGACGCACGACCTGAAGGGAGTTTTCAACATAAGTGATGACATCATTGTGCATGGGCGTGACAAAAAAAGAACATGATTCAAACCTGGTAGCATTACTCGAGAGAAGCCGCGAAAAGAATGTCACATCCAACAGAGCAAAATGTGAATTCAGAAAAGATCGCGTGGTCTACTATGGCTTGATGTTCTCTAAAGATGGAGTATCTCCAGACCCATGCAAAGTGAAAGCCATTAAATCTGCAGGACGCCCTAGAAATGCAGCCGAACTTAACTCATTCCTCTTTACGGTCAGATCCGGGCTGCCTAGATCTCTGCCCACTCTCGTACTCAGCTCTGTCGCTGTTTGCTCCTGGCTGCTCATGACCTTGCCTTGATTCGCTGGATCTGTGCGCTGGAACTGCATCTCCACTTGGCCCTGCTAAGGAACTGTCCGCTGGCAATGCATCTCCACTTGACCCTGTACGGTCAGGTATAGTTCGCGATTCATGGAAGCAAGACAGTATCAGAAAGCGGCGTGCAAACTGGGTGAGCTAGTGACCGGAAAATTCGAATGGAAACCGGAACACTCCGAAGCATTCGAGGAACTTAAGAACATGCTCAGTAGCGACACAGTCCAAGCATACTTTGATCCCCAGGCGGAGCACGAGCTTCATATTGATGGGTGCCCTGTGGGTTTGGCCGCAACACTTACGCAGAGAAAGCCTGGAGAACAATGTTGGAGAGTGGTGCAAAATGCCAGTCGGAGCCTCACCGACCCGGAAAAACGATATAGCCAGATTGAATTGGAAGCTCTAGCAGGTGATTTTGGGTGCAAGAAGTTTCACCTGTTCCTGAATGGAAGACCCTTTAAGATCGTGACTGACCACAAGCCTCTGGAAAGTGTGTTCAACAAACCCACCCACAAATCTTCGATCCGGGTCCAAAGGATCGTCAACCGTATGATGGACTATGATTTCATAGTAGAGTACCGTCCTGGGAAAGAGAACATATCAGATTACACATCACGTCACCCTATGCCACTTCACGAGTGCTCCAAGTTCGAATTGAGAACGACTAAGGAGGTACGGCATTATGTAAACTATGTTGTAACGTGCAGCACGCCCAAAGCGGTCACCAGAGACCAGGTAAAGGACGCCACTGAGGAAGATGCAGCTCTTCAAGCACTAAAGAAGTACATCAACCAAGGCTGGATAGACACAAATGATACAAGGACACACGAATTTCGGCAAGTTTTCCATGAACTAACGATGGTAGAAGGGGTTGTCTTGAGAGGGGATCGGATCGTTGTGCCCGCAAAACTCAGACATAGAATGGTGGAAATTGCGCACGAGGGTCATCAGGGCCAGGTGCGAACAAAACAGCTTTTGAGAGCACATGTATGGTTCCCCGGAATGGACTCACAATGTGACAAGTTCGTATCCACTTGCATCGCCTGCCAATCTAACACGCCGCAAACGAAAAAGCGAGCCACTCCGGATGACAGACCTTCCGGAAGGACCGTGGGAGAAGGTCAGCGTGGATTTTTGCGGACCAATGGCGAGTGGGGACCTCGCCCTCGTATTCTACTGTCAATATGCCAGATACCCAGTGGTTGAATTCGTGGGGTCCACGAGCGAGAAAGCAACAATACCGACATTCAAGAGGGTGTTCGACACATATGGAGTGCCAAAAGAAATCAAATCAGATAACGGACCGCCCTTCAACAGCCATAAATTCGAAGAATACGCAAAAGAGGAGGGGTTTAAGCACCGAAAGGTGACACCCGGATGGGCAGAAGCCAACGGCGATGTAGAAAGGTTTATGCAGAGAATAAAGAAGACCGCTCGGATCGCCTCTTTGGAAGGCAAACCCGTGAGGGATGAAGTGAACCGGGGAATAAGGGCATACAGAGCAACTGAGCATGCGACAACTGGAGTCAGCCTGAACAAGCTCATGTTCGGAAGGGAATTGCGTGGAAAGTTCCCTGAAGTCAAGGGACAGCCTAAATATAGGGATGACACGATGATTCGCTGTCGGGACCGAGAACAAAAACAGAAGATGAAGCGATATGCTGATAAAAGAAGACAGCCGTGATGAAAATTAAAGTCGGGGACACAGTGTTGTGCAAGCAGGAACGTAAAAACAGCCTGACCCCTCTGTATGACCCGGAGCCTATGGTAGTCATTGGCGTCAAGGGAAGCATGGTCACTGCCAAGAACAGTGTGAGGATTCGCACCAGGAATTATGCCGATTGGAAACTGCTCAAAAATGGTTGTAGGGAATCACCGCGGGGTGATGATTCTGACAGCGATGATGCATTTGAACCG